CTCCTTCAGCTATACTGGACCGAGGCCGTTTAGGGCTTTAAAGATCAGCACCAACACTTTGAATTATGCTCGGAAACATACTGGGAGCCAGTGCAGATCTCTCAGGACCGGTGTTATATGGTCCCAGCGGCCACTCCCAGTCACCAGTCTTGCTGCCGCATTCTGGATTTATTGCAGTTTCCGGGACACCTTCAAAGGTAGCCCCACATAGAACTTAGGCTCAGAACCCCAATGTTTCCTGGAGCACCTCTTTCTTCAAATCAGTACACAGACTTGATCTATTTGCATTAAAATTCCAGGACACGAGTATCATTTATTCACTTCTAAGAAATAGCTTCAGGTCTAAATACTTTGAATTCCAGCGTGGCAGTGGTGCTCAAAATAGGTTTCACACCTTTTCTTTTTTACTTCCTATGTTTTCTGTGTTTGCTTCTGCGACTTTTATCTTTGCAGTCCTGCTTATTGTGTTCTGTGGCTTCAGCAGCCTAACCAAACGGCCAGTGATCACCTAACACCCCTTGGTAAATAGCAAGGGCTGTTTGAAAATTGCCTCCCAAAGATTTCTGCCCAATTTCTGTTTATTTGTGTGTGTGTATATATGAAATTTGCTGAATAGTATTTGGGGTGAAATGAAGGCAAATTCTAAAAAGAAATTGATCAGAACACACTGCCTTTCCCTCGCTTCCTCCGTTTCTCAAGTTTGCCTGTTACATTTCTGACTCGTGGGGGCAAAAATAATGGCTTTGTTGCTATCAAGGTGTACTTTCGTTGCCTCCTATGTGTGTTCTGCGCCAGTATTTGGAATCTGTGGAAATGCTTTCTGGTCTGGGAAGGATGCCTAGAATTGAGAACTGTCTCTGCCAACCTGGGAACGATTGGGAATTGCCAATTTACACTGAGAGCAAAGGCTTTACAGTAGCCAATTGCAAGAAGCCAGCCTTCCTCTTTCCCTTCCCCGCCTCTCCCCAGACTGTTGGACTTGTCTGTACTGAGCATGTGGCCTCAATTATCAATTATTTTCTAGATGCTTGCTTACGGTGGCTGTACACTCTTATAAACGCAGTGAGATTTACTTCCAGTAAACATAGCTGGGATTGTACTACTAGTACCTACTCTCAGATTCTCTCTTCTCAATCTCAGACTCTCTCACACAGTAAAGGAGAGAGTTCAACGGTTGTTGTTAAGTTTCAAGTAAGGAAATAAGAAGCTTCTGGAGAAGGGCTTCCATCTTCCTGTTAGGCTTTTACCGCAAGGTAAGAATCATAGAAATGTAGAGTTGGAAGGGACGTCTGGTAGGGTTACCAGACGTCCCCGGATTTGCAAATCTGTCCCCGGACAAATTGCGTCCCTGGAATGTCCCCAGATTTGCTTTTTTTTTTTTAAGAATAATTTTTTATTAACCGACCAATCACATCAAATCAAACCAAATTACATAAATTCCAAATTACACAGCCGAATTTTAAATTTTTGTTGGGGGTACCCATATTTCAAGTTACGAAGTGATCCAATCAACTTCTTGCTTCTTACTGCTGTTTTAATGTCCACAAATATAACCTTATGATGTTCACAGTACTATCCAGTCCTTTCTTATTATTTTTCCACATCTCTTGTTGTTATTTTCATATATTTTTCCTTTCTCTTTGTGACCTCTGATAGTCTCCGCAAGCTGGTTAGAACAGTTTGTAATCCTGCGTGGATATTATTTTTTTATCCAGTAGCCATATCCAGACGTTTTCCATATAACATCACTTCCATACATCAAAACAGTCTTAGCGTCATTAATCTTCACCAATCTGCCTCCTTTCTCAAAACCTCTGAGGAGATTCACTAGGAATGCAGTCTGAAAACAAATCCGTTCTTCCTCCCGGCTATAAATCCTTTGGCAAGATGGCGACTCTGAATTAATTGCTGCGCCATTCCCAAAAGCTCTTATTGCTTCTCGGTCTCCATAAAGCATACTTTTGGTTAAAGTTTATCTCCACACAGACCTTAATCATCCTGCTTGGGTCAGTTCAACCGACGGTTCTAATGAGGAGGGGTTCTTGTAAATCACATAGAAGGAAAGTAAAAAAGGTTTCCCCCCCCCATTCAGCCCCGTTGTCAACATACCCCGCCTTTGGTGTATCTTCATCGTAAAATATTCCTGTTTCTCCAGCCCGTCATCTTCTTTCACAGAGGTCACTTAAATTAGCAGACTTCACTTCCCTTCTTCACTTGAAATATGTGCATTTGCTTCTTTTGTAATTAATTATTCTAAATTGCTGCAACTAGTGCGCGATCAGAGACAGCGTCCAGGAGAGCCAATGTCCACACGGGGGCATTCTGCCTAGGGCCCTCACCCCCTTCTTTCGAATTAGGGGGTGATTTATGGGCACAGCAGGCAAGGGCAGTGTTCCCCATTTCCTTGGGGCAACAAGGGAGGCTGCCTACTCCCATAACAGCCTCTTAATTACCCCGTGTGGGTCGGAGAGATGGTATTGTCGGCCATCTTCCAATGCGCCCCCTAGTGGCCCCCCAAATCTGTCCCTGGGAAACGTGGCAGCGGCAGCCTCAGCAACCCGGAGCCAGCCTGTTAGCGCAGTTGGCTCTGGCTGGCTTCAGGAGCTGCCCGCTGCCGTGGCGCCCGCCATTTTTCCTGCGCCATGGCAGCGAGCAGCTCCTGAAGCCAGCCAGAGCCAACTGCACTACCAGGCTGGCCCCTCCTGGGCAATGGCCACCAGTCCGTCACTCCCGAGCCTCCCCTGATCTGTCAAAACAAAGGGGGAAGGGGGAAGGAGATCAGGGAAGGCTTGGGAGTCACGGGCGTGCTGTGCGCCATTGCCCAGTTTTTTTTAAAAAAACCTCTGCATTTATGTTTCACAGGGTGCGAAAGAAGGGCTTTGCACCTTTATACAATATGCATGTGTGCTTGGGCGCAGGGTCTTTTGCCTCACCATCCCCACTACTGACTCCCTGTTGCTACTCAGCTTTAAAAAACCCAAAATCCCCCGGATTCATTGACAAAAATCTGGTAGCCATACCCTGAGGGTCATCAAGTCCAACCCTCTGCATTGCAGGAAACTCAGCTAAAGCATCCATGACTGATGGCCATCCAACCTCTGCTTAAAAATCTCCAAGGAAGGAGAGTCCACAACGTCAGGAGGGAGACCATTCCACTGTTGAATGACACTTGCTGTCAGAAAGTTTTTCCTGATATTTCGTCGGAATCTCCTGTCTTGCAGTCAGTTGTTTTGCTTTGTTTATTTGATTGGCCCCTTTATAGGCTGCCGTATAATAAACTTCACAGGGTGGTTTTCAACTAGAAACAAAACTGTTACTTTTAAATAAATAAAAAACCGAGAACAGTAAAAGCAGCGTTAAAGATATAAATACGGTGTAAAAAAGTGTCCATCTCCATATTGATAACGTACCGATAACAGTTAACAAATAATGTGGGCAGAGTTTACAGTACACACGGGCGCTGCAGTGGGGGCTGCCCGGAGGGAGCATGTGGTTAAAATAGTTGTGTCAAATCTGCACTGCAAATTGAAACCAGCTTGAAACTGATTTAACTGGAAAGAGAACCTTGGAAAGTGTGTTTCTGTGGAATTCCGAGTTTCCTTCAGGAGGCCTGGCTTCCTGCAGTTCCCGACAGTCCTTAAATTCATGGCAGTTAAGTCGAAATTGGAAGAAGCGTGGATAGGACTGATCGCTTTTGTAGGCCAGTTTGATTTTAAGCAGTCCCAGACTGCTGTCATGGCTTTTTTTTAATAAAAAAAATTGAGATAAACCTTTTGTATTCCTAACCTGCCTGTTACCTTCTCTAGCAAAACTTATTTCTTGGTAATTTATGACTGGATAGCCTATTGTTCTGCCTCCTCCCCCAAATTTTGGATGGTGCCCTGCTCTGCAGCCAGCCTTGTCTTGTGATATTTTCATGTGAAACCTTGTCCACTTGTTGCAGCAATAAACCTCATGTGGGTTTTTTACTTGTTTATACAGTGGGTGTAGCTCTGCTGAGTTGTTAGGTAGACATCTTTGGCTCCAGGAAATAAATGGCGCGGCTGCCTGAGATCATCTTTGCCTTACGAGGAAGTTAATGAGCAGGGCATGATCTGTAGCCGTGCCTAGTGACTGAAGGCCTTCTTGCAATCTTTTCCTCTCATAATAAAAGAACTATTGGAATGAGGCAATAAATATATTCAAGATGTTTTAGATGATAAACTCATCTTGTCTCCTAACTCAATTTAAAGAGATTTGCATGGAACCGAAACATCAGTAGGAGCGCAAGCTCGTGCTTAGATGGAGGGCCGTGTTTAATTATTTCCCTATTAAAATTCCCTATTATAGTAGCGTATTTGAACCAAAATACCCTCGCCCTCCACAAAGTGTCCCCAGAATGCCATTGATTACAATTTCACTGATATATCAGCTGGAGCTTTAGATTGATTATTCAGTGAATTAGCACTTCCAGTTTCAACAGTTGAAAAATAGTTATTGTGCCTAAATCAAGATTCAGGTAGGTAGCCGTGTTGGTCTGATGCAGTCGAAATATATATAAAAATAAATAAATTGTCCAGTAGCACCTTAGAGACCAACTAAGTTTGTTCTTGGTATAAGTTTTTGCGTGCATGCACACTTCTTCGTACACGAAAGCTTATACCAAGAACAAACTTAGTTGGTCTATAAGGTGCTACTGGACAATTTTATTTATTTATTTGTATATTGCCTAAATCAAGACAGTGAAGCTGTTTCTGAGCAGAACATCAAAATGCAAATTGTTCTATTTTTGAATTTTTTTGGTCTTTGAAGGATCTTGCAGTCACTATATGGCTGAGCTACAAAACCCAGATAATTTTGGGGGCCACTCTTATATTTATTACTATCGTTAAGGGGGCTATATTTACCATGAAAGAGCACTTTTGTGTGTGCTTCTATCCTTTTCTGTTAGCCTCCATTTTCTTAGGGGCTTGCCTAGTGCATCCTGTTTCCTGAACTCTTTTCACTGCTAACCCTCCCTCTACCCCGTGGTGCAATGGGTCAACACGTTTGGCTGTTAACCAGAAGGTTGGTGGTTCTAGCCCACGCAGAGGTAGCTGTGGACAGGATTTCTGCATTGCAGAGGGTTGGACTAGACTCAGGCATCCCCAAACTCGGCCCTCCAGCTGTTTTAGGACTATAACTCCCATCATCCCTAGCTAACAGGACCAGTGGTCAGGGATGATGGGAATTTGGCTGGAGGGCCGAGTTTGGGGGTGCCTGATGACCCTTGTGGTCCCTTCCAGCGCTACAATTCCATGAATCTATACTTCATAGGACTCTTTCCCCCTCCCTGTTTCTCTGCACCGCTAGAAATCTGCACCCACTACCTCTGCTCTTGTTTTCTGTTCCTTCCCCTCTTTCTCTTCCCAAACTTCATGTACAACACTGCTCTCATCATCTCTTTCTAAATCACACTTCCTTCTCTCGCTGTCTCTTTCCACCAATATTTCAATTTTCCCCAGCCACAGGGGAATGTCTCCCCACACCCTTCCATCTCTTTTTGTCCTCCCCTCTCCTTCTCCTTCAACACACTTACTGGCAAACACCACACAAGGCTTTCACTCCAGCTCTGTCACATTCTTCCCAATCCCGAGAATGAGTTATGCAGGCATCTTCTCCTGATGCGATTTGGGCAGTCTCTTTGCAGTGCTGCGAACAATTAGTATTTCAAATCCACCCCCCACCCCCCTAGAGTGGGGCGAAGGTAGAAAAGGGGGAAGCTGCAAGCAGCCCACAGGCTTGATTTAGTGTGGCTGTGTCAGAGGAAGAGAAGCTGCAGGTATGAATTTCACGCTGCACCTTGTAGCACAGAGATAACTCGCCAGATGTTTTTTGGACAGCTGCTCCCATCCTCCCAGTCTTTGCTGGCTGTGCTTGATGGGACCCTCAACAACATCTAGAGTGCTGCTTCGGTTCCCCACCTCGATCCAGAGTATTATTATTATTATTACTCTAATTGAATTTATATACCACCCTATTGGGAAGTGGGTGGCGCTGTGGGTTAAACCACAGAGCCTAGGACTTGCTGATCAGAAGGTCAGCGGTTCGAATCCCCGCGACGGGGTGAGCTCCCGTTGCTCGGTCCCTGCTCCTGCCAACCTAGCAGTTTGAAAGCACGTCAAAGTGCAAGTAGATAAATAGGTACCACTCCAGCGGGAAGGTAAACCGCATTTCCGTGCACTGCTCTGGTTCACCAGAAGCGGCTTAGTCATGCTGGCCACATGACCCAGAAGCTGTACACCAGCTCTCTCGGCCAGTAAAGCGAGATGAGCGCCGCAACCCCAGAGTCAGTCACAACCGGACCTAATTAATGGTCAGGGGTCCTTTTACCTTTACCACCCTATAACCAGGGCAGTTCACAGAATAAAATCAAAATATAAAACTGCAAGATACACCATCAAAACAAAAATAAGAACAACCCAACAACCAGTGGTTGCATGGCTTACTTTCTACTTTCTACTTGCTAAATTAGAAAGTATCAGCAAAATTTGATGGGCTGAGTTAGGCTGCAGTCTGATGCACAGTTACTTACAGAGTTAGCCCCATCGAACCGTACTTTGAGTAGACGTGTATAGGAGTGTACTTCAGAACACTTCTGGTTGTAATGGGTGGTCCTGTTTTTTTTTTTTTGTTTATTGTTCATAAGACACACACACACACACATACCCCATGTCATGTATGATGCTATCTAACTTTGGGTCCTGGATCGTTTGCAGAGCAACCTCTGCAATGCAAGACTATCCACAGTTCTTCCTTCAGTAGAAAACAGTGCTTGTCTCGCTGGCCGTAAGATCAGTTAAGAATGGATTGAAAGAGATGCCCTTGATAACAACACAGAGAGCTGTATTGTAGCTCCATATGGGATCACCCATTTCTCCTTTTTCCTCCTTGCTCTTTTGCAGACATGTGACTCAACCCTGCAGTTCATTATATCCCCAGCAAAGCTCATGCTAGCACCATCTGGGTCTGTTTGGCCCATGTTAGGTAGGCATCCTCGATTCCTTAGGTCTTTTGCCCACATTCTTCTGCACCGAGGCTTGTGGTAATGCAAACCCGACTTGAACTAATTCCCAGGAGGACAGATTCATAATGCACCGATGTGTGGTATATCGCAGCTGCGTTTGCGTTACAGTGCACTTTCACTGCTGGCCAGTTTTGGGGCTGAGAGCATCCCACAGTGCCTTGGAAGCACTCTGAACCTGCCAAGGGCGTGATGCATTGTGCAGCTCTCAGGAAAATTAAAAAGGAAAGGAAGTACAAGGTGTGCAGGGTCAAACACCCTCCCCCCCCATTTCACAGAGCATCTTTCCCCTGCCCCCTTTTTAGTAATTGACAGCAACGTCCGCTGAAGAGAGTTGGGCTAATGTTGATTCAGATGTCTTTTGACCTGGGTTTTTCTCCCATTCCTTTTTTTTAGTTTTTGCTTGCTTTGGGCACAATCCATCAGAAAGTTGTCCTCAGCTCCGCTGAAGTGTATGAGAGCTGCCAAACAGCCAGAGTACAGTAGCACTTCGATTTATTTCGGTGAAACCAGCACCTGCTACTCTGGGGCAAAATCTACTGAGACAGAAACACACACGTGTGTGTGTGTACTTTTAATGTTGGCGACACGCTTTTTAGACAGGCATCATTTCGTGACACGGTAATTTCCCAGCAAGCTGACCTCTTAAAAGAGCATTCGCACAACACACCAACACACTGACGTGTCGTGCAACACACAGTTTGGAAAGCTCTGCTCTATGTATACACATTTGTAGTGTCTGAGTTGACTTGAGCTGCTGCAACATTTCTTCATCATTGCCCTGGTGAAATTTGGCAGTTGTTTTTTTCCCTTGGTGGTTTAGAACAAGGAGTTCCCAATAGCATTGAACAAGATGCTCTGTTGCAATGTGATGCTTGAAATATGCCTTTGGGGTTTGCATATGTGTGTGTGTTTGCAGTGATATACTTTGCTTTGCTTTGCTTTAGTAGCCTGCTGAGCAGTTACACTGAGCTGGTTGGCATTTTAAATTGAGCATCTTTGGGTTTTGCGTGACTTTCCCTGTGCTTTCCTGTATCTATCCTTTCTGACTGCAAAGTGGAAAGCACTGACTTTTATCAGTTCACGTATATGAAGACTGCCAATGAGCAATTGATGTTTAATCTCGTGAACTGCCCTGAGATCTTCAGATAGACAGCAGTATATAATAAATAATAATAATAATAATAATAATAATAATAATTGTTGGGCAGTTTTGCTGCCGGCCTTTTCTATGTTAGCACTTATGGAGTTACAGTATTCAAGGAAATGAAGCCAGTTTGTGACCAGATTCGGGTCCTCAATCAATATCCTCTTTCAAAGAAGCAACCGCATATTTATGGAAAAGGAGTGATACAAGCAGAGCAGTGCATCTGCAATGGTTCAGATGCATCCAGATCCCTGAGCATCTCAGGTTTCATATTTTCCCCTCAAGTTTTTAATTACTGCAAAGATATGCTTGAAAACATTGTGTGCGATGCCTGCTGGAATCTCTGAAGCTAAAGAGGTTGCAGATTTCTAGGTGCTGAGAGTGGGGCTCTGGTTCCTTTTTTGCCCCTCCCCAATTAATTACCCAAAATAGTAAAAATTGGCAAAAATAACCCAATTATGTAAATCTGCTTCATTTGCTTAACGTATACGGCATGCCGAAACAACATCTTCTTTTGGAATACCTGGCCACAGAACTTTAATTATAGTATAGAGAACACACAACCTTGGGTTGTCAGAATCTGGCTTGCTATAAACTCTGATTAATGATCCATTCTAGATGTTTCTGGACTCCAGCTTGCATCAGCTCTGGCCATGGGTTTTGCTGACTGGCTGACGAGAGTTCTCTAGGGCAGCCTTCACCAGCCCTCCAGATGTTTTCTGGCTGTGAGTGGTGGGAGTTGTAGCTCAAAACATCTGGAGGGCACCAGGTTGACGAAGGCTGCCGTAGGGTCTCGTGTAAAGTTTGCTTCCAGGTTCAGTATAATCAAACTCACCAGAGATGGGCTTCTGACTGATTTCCTGCCATCAGCAAAAATCTCAGTGTGGAAACATCTCAAAGGAACAAATGCCTTCAACAGGATGAAGCATCGGAGATATAAGTAGTTTTAATTGATGCTCTGCATTATCCCAAGAGGTGTCAGAATGGGTTGTAGCAATTATACGCATAGACGAGGTGAATCCCCGTCCCCCCAAGCACTCAGCGTCTAAAGTGTAGGAGATGCAACTACAAATGAAAAATATGTTGGCAAGAGGAACGTCAGGGTGAATTAATCTTGGAACACAATTTGTGTGTATGTGAGACAGCATTCTACACCAAGTTTGAGGGGAGGCAGAGTATGGCGGGGGGGTAGAATGTGATTATGAGAGAAAGGGATACTGACTTTCCCACTGGCAACACATGGGTGTTAACATGGGCACAGCGAGAAGAGAATTATATCTTGGTTATGGCTGGACAAAGTAGGTAACTAATGATTTTGACAGCTGAGATCCTTCATTGCTTAAGGAAGTTTCATCAGCCACAGTTATGGCAATTGCAGTTTTCCTCCCACCCCAGCCATATGAAAATGAAGAGAACCAACATCATATAATCTAGTAAGTGCAAGAGAGAAATGCACACACAACCACAAGTCCTGCTGCTGTAGAAGCAAGCCAGTATTCAGGCTTGTCTCTTTGTCTGGAAGCTCACTGAGTAACAGGGCTGGGCAATATATTGTTGTATCGTCCAAAACTGGTCTGAAGTTCATATTTTGACATTGGTTTCATAATTTTTGACCTGGTAGTATAGTGCGAATCATGATGTGTCTTCATGCATGCGTGCTATGCAAAAATCACAATTGGGGAAAACTGTGAAGCCAGCCAGTGCTTCTCTCGATTTCTACCACCTCTGTTAACTCTGTCAGCTCAGCTGTCTCCCGCAGGGAGCAGCGAATCACAAGAGCAGACGCTGGCAAAAATCATGATGCGGGAAAAACCGTGAAGCCCGGCCAATGGCTCTACATGGCTCCATCCTTATTTCAGACACTGTGATATATCAGTATATCGTTA